ATTATGACTCAAAGCTAACGTAGATTACTTGAGCACATCGCTCACATCAATAGAAGTGAAATCTTAAATTACGATTTAAGTCAAGAATGCAAGTGTACTCGTCCGACAACACTACTGGACCTGAAACATAATGCACGCAACTATTAACGTAAAAAGACTTGGATGCAGAAGATTTGAGTGCGATGAGAAAACTGTTTCGTTGCCTTCGCAGCATCCTCATATTATGAACTCTAAAACACAACATATGGCCTATCATGCAACATTGCATGTGAAGGGTTTTCTCATGTGCGCTTAATATGAAATTTTAGATTCGTCCTATTCTCGAGCACGCCAGTTTACTGGAGCGTTGCGATTGGCATAGGTCATCATTAGACGATCTATGTGATGATAATATTATAGGGACATATGATATAATGATTATTTATCTTTCCTGAGATTCGTAAAAAGGGCGCCAATTCTTCAGTCGGTGACGCGCCTCATCTTAACCAAGTAACCATTAGACGATGAAAGCTTTTACCAGTTTGACTAACCGAGCTTACCTCAATAATTTGGTAAGTAGCCGCTATACCCGAGGCTGTTGTACCTGACTTGTTTGTATAATTATTGTGTATATACGTATGTTTTATATTTCGTTTAGTTTTAATAAATGTTTCGACTTCGCCAGAAACCGTCGGCAAACTACGCGTGTCAAATTATTCTACCCTAAGAAGATTCTCGATACGAGGTTCTTCACATTGCACATTCCCTTATATAAAAGGTCTGTGATCGAGATCGGCCGAAGCGAAGGTGCTCGCAAGGGAACCTCGTCCAGCAATATGAATGTAAAGTCTTTCATCAATCAAAAATTTTTTAGTCTAAATGCCTACGAGTGACGAGGCTGCTTTGAAAAACCGTTAATGTTTCATTTAAACGATTTCGAATGGATTCATCGTCATTTTTGAACAAGTGTTTGCCTTAGTGAAATGTTCCCATCTAACCAACTAAATTTTGCTCCTTCGATGATACTGGCCGATGAATTTTCTTCACGCAACTTCACTCCATCAGGCAGAGCGAAATCTCTCATGAGATTCTTCTTATGCCATTTCCTCAAATAGACTTGTCCAGTCAGCAGACTTGAAGACGACAAAGAATATCACACACTTCACAAAAAAAAAACATAAACGTCACCTCCCTCAACTACCAGCACAACGGCCCTTGCTCAGATAATCCTTCCGACTCACGGTTCCTCCGAGGTTTAAAATACTGGCTTACATAACCACTATAAGAATTTATTTTCCTAGCAACAAATTTGTGGTTCGTAATTTTTGGTTTCGCCTAATGAGCAAGAAATAATAATTGCAAACACTAGCAAAAAAAAGCAATCAATCAGCATTATCGCAATAATTTTGGCAATGAATCACCAATCACGACCACCACTATGCACTACTAACAATTAACTTATTTACCTTTAACACTTAACAAATACATATGACTAAACACTAAACAGTAATTAAGTTATATCTTAATCTAAAGATCAGAAATTAGCGATATAATCGTAATTTGTCCAAATCATTTTGCAGTGAATGGAAATTTTGTGCGTCCATAGGAAATTTCTTCTGTTGAGGCTCCTAGACACATTACCGATCAGATTGGTTTGTAATGCATGGTGTGGCAGAGGAACTTGTTTATTGAATTAACTATCCTTCCTGAAGTGTGATTTGCTACGATAACTTGAAGGAAAGGTTTAATCAAGAGCGCCAACTGTAGTTTTGTTTATATGATGAGTCGCATTAAATTATTTTCTTTTTTCTTTTTTCTTTTCAGTAGTCATGTAATGGACGAACGTGGTACGAGGTTTTACGGTTGAGGCATATTTTTTCTTTGGTAAATCAACCATCGCCACACAGCGTGCTTTATGTCGGCACTTCCATGTTGCACCTCGGAGCCGTGTTCCAGTACAACAGTCAATCGTTTCGTGGGTGAAGAACTTCAAGGAATCTGGAGATGTGAAGAAGAAGCAGCCTGTCCTGCAAGGGACTGCAAGATCTCCACAGAACATCGAAGCGGTGCGGCAATCCATCTTGAGGTCTCCCCGACAATCTGCACGCAGGAATGCATCAGCTCGTGGGTTATCAGCTCGTTCTGTTACACGGATCGTTAATGAATAATTGAAGTTCCATTCCTACAAGATTGTTGTCGCCCAGGAACTGATTCCTCGGGACTTCGATGCTCGTGAGGCTGCTAGTAGGGCCCTTCTCGACTTGCCTGATGACACGCTTGTGTTCTTCGGCGATGAGGCACACTTCCATCCTTCTTGGGCTGTGAACAAGTAGAACATGCGGTATTGGAGCGCTAAAACCCACAATAACTTCAAATGCGACCTCTACACTCGCAACGCGTGACTGTTTGGAGCGAAATATCCCGAGTTTGAATAACCAGTCCCTGGTCCTTCCAAGAAAATGAGAAGACAGTTTCGGTGACATCGGAGCGTTACGTGAAGATGGTACAGGATTTATTCCTGCTAAAATTGAACGAAATGAGCTTGGACGATATTTGGTTCCAGCAAGATGATGAAACTGCGCATACATCAAGAGCGTCCATAGTTTTCTTGAACAAAACCTTTCCTGGGCGCGTGATCTCTTTGAGGGGCAATCTTCAGTGGCCAGCCAGGTCCCCTGATCTTGCGCCTTGCGATTATTTCTTGTGGGGACATCTGAAGTCCGTCGTGTACCATCACAGACCAAACAACCTGAACCATCGCCAATATAACATTTGTGAAGCCGTCGCCAAAATTCATATTGAGATGCTGGAAAAGATCAACCCATTTTCCTAACACGACTGACACGGTGTATTGTCAATAACGGACGCCATTTGCATGATTTCATCTTTAAAACTGACACATTATACAATGTACTTCTTCTTGATTATGCTATATCAAAATTCATTTGTATACATTCAATACTTTCATTAAAAATATGTTTCAAATAAGCAAGTTTATCGGCCCCACCCTGTACTACTTCATCAATTAAAAAAAATTTTTAAATTCGTTATAATTTCGAATGTTTTGAAATGATACACTAAATTTACCTAATTTTGTCATAGATATACTGTAAAATACTATACTGCATTATCGAATGTACTGTATTATCGATAAACCATGGCTTTCTAGAGATTAAGATTCAAGAGAATGTTGTCCATGCGCCCTCAGGTCTTATACTTTTCCATCAATCTCTACCACGTCAACTGAATATTACGTCTCAGTTACAGATGATGTAATATTACAATGTGATTACAATGGATAGAATGAGACGCCTGATTGACATCGGACAATGTAACTAACCTATCTTTCACAAATTAGGAACTTCGACAGTCAAAAAGATGAAGAAAACTGCTTGGCAGAAAATAATATTTTATTCATCACATAGGAGAACTTAAGGCATACCTAGCAGCAAACGAATTGGTGTATATATCTAATAATTCAAACTGATATATACACTATTCATTTTCCATCGACGATTTACAACAATTCTGTAAAGAAAATAACCTTCGTTCCGAGAAACATCGCATGAAAAATGCATGCACATTTGCTTTACAGAAACGAATTAGAGATCCTAAATGTAAAGCGTTCATTAGATTCTATGAGATTATGAATAAAATGTCAACATTTAATGACCCTCTTCATTATCCAGAACCAAATTCAATCTTTCTCTGTTAGACAGAAGATGCGAGTTTAGAATCCTAATCACAAATAACATAACATAACATAGTGATGTCGGCTCTGAAGTGTAGGCCTGATGTGGCCTGTCGCCGATTCTTTTCCTTTTCGTACCTTGTTCATAGATCTAAACTCGTGTCATTTGACCGGATCTTTTCATGACTGGCGATAGTTTGAAGTAGCTACTAGACTTCCACCGGGTTCGATAAGGAGCTAGGCATTTCAAATCTGAACATATATTTTTCCATAGCTTTATCT